AGAGCCATTCATACCCTGAACACACAAATATTCTACACTTCCCACACTGTATTAGTTGAGAATGTGCCTTGCTAGGGAAAATGGGCAGAGCAGGATAAATTAACCAGTAAAGATTAAATCACAGCGCCCGGAATGTAGTAAGTTTGGTTGCTAATAAAATAATTTCACGTTGTGCAAACATCAGGTAACCTGTGTGCCTAATGTTAATAAGTCACTTGAGGTACACTTAAGGAAGCAACTCTGACTGCCCACCACATGTACCATTCTATGCCCTAATTTTCTCCTTTTACCTATTTTCTTTTAAATCTCCCTCTTGCCTATACTTTAGACCTTTAAAATACTAGACTGCTGGGCTCCACTGGACAAGTTTTTAGGCTGTATACATTCATTCACTCACCACCATATGAAATATAGAATAAAGGCTTATGGTTCATGCAAGAAATGTAGGCAAAATTACTTTCTCGAAGAGTAGTAGCCCTTTTATTGCATTCAGGACTAGAAGTTAGATAATAGAAAACGTCATTTATAGATTAGTCATTAAAAGGGTCCCGCATTGCTTAAACATTGTATTCTAACATCAAGCATGTGAGTGCACAGTATATGCTCCCCTCAGCAACCCTTGTCTAGCTGCCTCCTGAAATAGCCAACATGCTGCAGGCTCTCTGTGAGACACCGAGAGGTCAACAACAAGCCAAATGCTATGACTAGTACATTTCGCACTCACACTTTATTGGTTTGTGTAACATGAAATTATGTAACAGGCATCAAGGGTTTGGGAATAAATGCAACTGACTTGGAAAGTCAGAGGGGATCCCCAAACAACAATTATATATGAAGGAGTATAAGCAAAATACAGGCATTTGGGCAGGCATCGGGCCAAGGGGCTGCTTTCTAAGGGAGCTGTGCAAGGTGGTGGTAGCAATCGCTGATGCCAAGTGAAACCTGGGTCGTTGGTATCCATTGAGGTCAACCAGAAATGAGGTGGGGCCTGGAGTAAATGCTGCCAGGTGCTACACTGACCTCTGAGCCAAAATTTCGGCTTCCTCATTCTTCCAAAACTAACCAGGGCTGGGCTCCAGGGAGTAAATGCCAGAATCAGACTTCAGAACTGGTGAAATAATCACCATGGTAATGAACACCATTTATGGAGCACTTACTTTGTTCTGGGCCCTGGGTTTATGAGATTCAAATGCATAACCTGTATGTAGCCAAGCTATGTCATGGTCCAGTCATGACATGGAAATGCAGTCAGAGACACAAAAGCCCAGCAACCAAGTAGCAATTGAAAGTAATTTTAGTCCTAGTTTCACTCTCTTGAAAATAGAGAGAAAAACCACACACTGTTAAACTTTTTAAAAATCCTCCACCAACAGGAGAGAGGTAGGTTTTTATAGAGAAGACGCAGAGGCATAGTATAGAAATTATTTGATTAGTGATAGCTTAAATGGTTGCCCTATTTGGGAAAGCCTAGTTGGCTGTTGGTGATTGGTTGTCCTTAGGTTTCATTTTCTCAGATTGCATGTGTTGACTCTAGATTTTGGGTTGCTTACATAGCCTACCAAGGCACTAGAGCCACTTCGTCTAATGGCCTCCTTGTTTAATTACATTAACAATGCAAAATTCACAAGGCATGAGGTTCCCTGAATGGCCCTGTTTCCCTCATGTGGAAGAGAATATTTCTCTTGTATCTCAGAAGAATGGTTATGTCTCATTTTTTTAATCTCTAGAATTTTCCCCCTTATTGGTGAACTTCACAATTTAGGAAGTTAGTCTGGAAGCAGTATAAATAAATGACCAATTACAGGGGGGCAAGAAAGAATAGAAAGACAGTGAAAAGCTGTGGTAAGCTTTACAGGGATGGTGAGTGGCAGTGACAATAGAGAGAAGCAATATAGAGCAATATAGAGAAGTGAATGACTTTGAAAAGTGAATATGGTAATTTGTTTGATGGAGTGCAAAGAAGATAAGAGTGGGGGTTAAGTATGAGGCAGAGAGATTCCTGGCTTGAGCAGCTAAGTGATGATACCTATTACTGATATGGGATTCAAGTTTAGAGAGAAAACATTTAAAACTTCATTTGGAATATGAAGTTTGAGATAACTGTGAAACTTCCAAGTAGAGATATCTAAGAAGCATTAAAAAGAAGCTTCTGAGGTGGAGATATAAATTTAGAAAATGATTCCACCTGAATGGTATTCAAAGTCAGGTAGTGAAAGAAACCATCTAGGAAGAGAGAACAGAATGAAGACAGAAAAGGAATTTGTTCTAAGAAACTTTAAAGATTCATGGTTGGGAGAAAGATAAAGAGCCATCAATGAATTGTGGGAAGATGAGGACAAATGGAGACAGAGAAAACCAAGAGACTATGGTAATAAGAAGCAGAGACAGTTTCAGAAAGGAGAAAGTCAATTATATTAAACTCTGTTAAGGGGCCAAATAAGAGAAGGACTCAAAAGTATCTATTGCTCTTTGCAACATGGAAGTTATTGATGACCTTCGAGAGGACTGTTTCAATGGAGAGGTGAAAGCAGAAGCAAACCTAGAGTGAGTTAAATGGAGCTTAAGACCAGAGACAGTTAGTTCAGACAACTCTCTAAAGAAATTTGACTATGAAGGGAAGAAAATGAGTCAAATGGTAGGTTCTTTTTGCAGGTGGTGGTGGTGGCGGGGGGGGGGGGGAAGGGGGGCGTTTAAAATATGGAAACCTGCTTTTAAATGATGATGGGAAGGAATCTGTAGAAAGGAGAGGTTAAAGAAAAGGTAATAAGAGACGGAATACATGGTGGTAAAATGTCCCAAGGAAAAGGAGACTGGATGATACAAGTGGAATAATGGACCTTGGGTAGAAGGAAAGAGACATCAGGAAGGAGGTTGGGGGGAGCTGGGTTAAGATGCAGGTAGATTTGCAGATTTGGTTAAAGTAGTTCCCGTCTAAAGGCTTCTATCAAGTTTATGAAGAAGCCCTTAAAGGTTATCTGCTGAGAATGGGGACTATAAGGAGGAGTTGGAGATTGGAAAAGAATGAAGAAGATTTGAAGTAGGCATTGAAAAGAGCGGGGAAGTAACGTATGAAAGAGAGACATATTTAGATTACTGGGCAGTGGTGAGAATTCATGTGAGATTGGATTTGCCTTGTTGTATACATATTGCCTCCATTAGGGCTCAGCTATTAGTGAGGGCATTGGAAAGACAGAGTTGATTATGGTTGTATTGGATGGATGTCAAGGAACTGGTAAGAGAATAATTGAAAAGATGTACTGTGGAATCTAAACTGGTTGTAGAGGAAGTGAAGACAGGAAATGGTTAAAAACAAAACAAAAAACATATATAAGCCAATGGACTAGAGGTTGTGATGAGAATAAGCAAGTAAGTTCAATGACCAAATCATAGGAGTAAAAATTGTGATTAGAGATTTTGAAGGTGAGACTGTGGAGAGTGATGAAAAATAAAAACCAGGGTCTGACCCTGGAAGTGGGGGACTAGAATGTGGTAAAGATCAGTGACAATGAGGAAGTCAAGGAACTGAGAAACCAGACATCCTCCCAGACCCCTTGATCAAGGTTTTCTCACACACAACCTTCTAAATGTTTTATATTTTTCCTTTCTTATTTAAATTATTAATCCACCTGGAATTGATGTTTGTGTATAATATGAGATTACCATTTTTATGTTCTTCTATTTGGATAACCAACTGTCCTCAGGCCATTTGTTGAATAGTTTAGTTTCTGAATACTCCTTGAATTCCTTCCTTCCAATGCTATTCCTGATTCCTGTAGCTTGAAGTATTATAGTACCCTTCAGTCTCTCCTCTCTACATATTCTTTAAGTTGCCATAAAAGATATCTTTCAAAAATACAAATTTGACCATGCCAACTCTCTTGATTAAAGTGCTTAAAATTTTTTCTGTGTTACATTTAGAATAAAAGCCAAACTCCTAATCTGGCCATATTTAAGCTGTTTCACAGTATTTCTCCTTACAGTATTTCTTTCCTTTCAAATCACCCTTATTTTCTAACATTATCCACACTTTTACTCAAATATTACTGTTTAGGTAATATATGATTCAATTAAATGTTAAATCTTCATCAGAACTACTAATTATGTTAATGAATGACACATTTAAAAAGTTCTAATTCATTTATTTGAAATTTATTGGACATCTACTATGCATAAGTCACTACATGGTACTCTAAGTTTCAGAGTTTGCAATCTAAAGAACAGAAAGCATAAATCCCAATATCTTTGAAGAATGGAGGAATTTAAGTATAGCAACATACATTTGAGCCAATTGCTATGAGAGAGAAATGGCATTTTGTTTGATGGAAATCTGGAAGTTTTGTCAGAAAGTTAGGTCGTGAAAGATGGTTAAAATTTAGAAAGCCAGAGAAGAAGATGGAAGTGCATTTTAGGTAGAGGGGTAGCATCAATCGAGGCAAGAGAAGTGGGGAAGTGTGACCTTGGAGTACAATATAGAGCAGAAGAAAGACAAATGACTAGAAGGGTAAACTGAGGACAGAGTACAAAAATACTTTAAGGTTAGTAGACTGGCCTCTAGCTAGCATTGGGAGTCAATGATAATCTCCATGAAGGGACTGATATAATTACGTTGTGACATGATCGGGTGGAATTGAATGCAGAGATTAAATCTAAGAGGATGCACTCATAGTCTAGGCATATGTTGGCTTATCCTAGGAAGTGGGGAAGCCAAAAAGAATGCAAGAGAAGTTTTAAAGTAGAATCCATAGCAGTTAGATGACCAAAGAAAGGAGAAACTTGTCTAGCTCAGCTCCAGAAAAGAAAAAGGTAAGAATTTCATGAGAATTTCCTGCATCTGACTAAACATCATCTATATTTGTATTTGCTCAAACAGACTTTCTTGTACCTCTTTTTGGTGACTTTAAAAAATATTTAATATTTAAAAGTATCCCATAGCCTAACTTTATGTCTCTAGATTAACAGTTTTATTCTTATTTTCCTTCTCTCCTCCTTATGTGTGACAGCTTCTACTGCACATGGTTGGGTCCCCTGATCAGGACCTCCAGGAAGCTGCAGCTGGTTGCATATCTAACATCCGCAGGCTGGCTCTTGCTACGGAAAAGGCACGATACACTTGAAATTTGAATAGACATTTCAAGCTATCAAATTTTACATGACACAGATCATATCACTCCCATGGCCAGGAAGCTGAAATTAGGAAACATTTATTAGCAGACCCTTTACAAGCAGACAAATGCCTGAATGAAAACATATGGATGAAAAATATGAAGGATATTGTTCATGCAAAAACTGCATGGATATTTTTGTTCTATTTAATGTTTTAAGGATTTGTATGTAATGAAATGTAAAGCCAATAAATTTTTGATGATTTTCCAGGAATCTGAGAATATATATATCCAGTATTTTTTTTTCAGTGATGCTTTTGTATTTGTGAAAATTTTAATAAAAGATATGGACTTCCAGTGTGCAGTGCTATAGTGGATGAGTTTTTAGAATTCCCTTTCTGTTAAACCTATCTAACAGTCTTGTCATTATGGTTTTGTCGTTTTGATCACTTGCAGCCCATGGGAGAGTTCTGAAGAGATGTGCTGATTTCACAAACTGTTATTAAATAGAATTCAGAATTAAGCAGCTGGACTTGAGAGATCATCCCGAGGTCATTCCAACTTCCCCCTAAATCTATTAAACATCTGAGAAGATAATGTGTAACTGTCACTTGACCAGATCATGCAAATCACAAAAACATAAGCAATGCATGAGTTGTGTGTTTTTTAACTTTTGGGTTTGCACAGCATAAACAATAATACATTTTATTTCCCTCACAGGATTCACCAACACTTTTATTGAAAGAATGAACTTGTGCTGGTGTCAGGGTAATATTACTTCACATAAAATTGCTTTGAATTTCTGTATTTGTTTTCAGCACACAAAGTACTTTTTAAAAAGTGGCTACAAAGGATTAATAGCATTTTATCAGGTTATAGAAACATTAGAAGCCACTTAAAAGAATCACATATGTAACCTCAGTGTACTGAAATGTTTGGGAACTAACTGTGCAAGCATCACCAGGAAAATAACTTTGCATGCATCAGCTCTGTAAACAGACAGTCTAGGTTAATGCTTTAAAAAGCAGGCAAGGAGGGTTTATGAAAAAATATTAAGTACTGTGTATGTTTGTCATAATTTGCAGATGATTAACTAAATTGAGCTAAGTGTAAATAATTTGTATGAAATGAAAAGCCTGAACAGAATGAAATTACCACTGATAGTTTCTGCGATTAAAAAGCTCAGGAATTTCTGAGAATTTTAAGGTTTTGTAAAACACCAATTCATCATCATTGGTTTTAAAAGGAGGTTATAGAAGAGAATAACAGAAACAAGGAGATGATATGAATACTAAGAATTAAATTTAAATAATACTGTAAATCCTTTAACTTTCAACAGTGTATATTTCTAACATTAAAGTTACCATGTGGCTGTGTTTCACTAACATTAAAAACACATCTAGAGAGATCCAGATGGCAGTGGAGTAGGTGGAAGTTACACTGACCTACTCCCAGGGTCAAACTGGAATTACAGCTACTATAGAACAGTCAACCTGAATAACCAACTGAAGACTAGCTAAAAAGAAATCTTATAAGTGAGGATTTACAGAAGAAGCCACTTTGATACTGTTAGGGAAGGGGAGACAGTTAAAGTTCTAGCCACGTACCCACATGCAGTGCCTAAGAATCCAGAGGAATATCTCAGCTGTAAAGGCTCCCCCTTAGGAGTGTGGGGGTCTCAACCCCATCCCTGGCTCCCAAGCCCAGAGGACCAGAGCCCAGCAGAGGAGACCACATAACATCTGGCTATGAAAATCAGCAGGGATTCTGCCCACCAGGGAGAAATGGGAGTCAGATTCCCTCTCAAAAGGCCAGCAAAAAATCTCATTCACAGCCACTCACCCTGAGCTCCAATGGAGGGAGGGTGGCTGGGAATAGAATAGTGTTGTGCAAGGAGAGACTGGGTTGTGTGGCTCTAGGGAGAGAGCTGAAGGAGACAGCCCTCAAGGTCCCTGTGCTGAGTCCCTCAGTTGCAGACACCATCTTTCTTGGGTTTAGCACTCCCTTCCATATGGTATCAGCCTGGGGAATGCAATAGCTCCACCCTTCCTACTCCCTGTCACCCTCCCCTGTGGAGTTCACACCCTGTGGAAGAGTCAGCTGCCTGGGGTATAGAGGTACGGGCAAACTCAGGGGGTATCAGAGACTGAGTTGTGTGGCTCTGGGGTGGGAGACATTCCCTACACCTTCCCATGAGCCTGACCAATGACAACCCTTCATGGGAGATCTAATAGCCCCATTCTCCAGACTCCTGGGGGCCCCACCCTCTTGAGCTCAGGATTTCCACAAGGTTTCCACTCCAGACGAGTTCTGTGGCTCTAGGAATGGCCCATTTTTCCCTCGCACACCTGACTGGTGCAGAGACCTCCATCACATAGCCAAATCTTGGTCTGTTTGGGCCTGATAAACTCTTCTTGCCTCTTCCTGATGACACCCTGAGCTCCACCCCACCGCAAAGGTCTGTGGACTTTTGTTGAGTGGCCTCAGACCCAACAGTGGCACCAAGTTTGAATCTGTATCAGTCTGGTGAACATTGCCCCTACCTGGTGACTCACTAAAAACCTAATTTACACAACTCTAGTATTGCCAAAGGCTCTTTCAGTAACAGTTAACAGGCAGCCAACAGGTGAAGAGGCAGCTGGCAGTGGATCTAAGGTGCCTTAGGCCTTTGGCTGACCAACACCCAGGTTTGGTGCTGGTGGAAGCCGGCCTTGGGGAAAAACTTGGTCCTTCCCATGCACACCCAGCCTCAGCAGAGGTAGCTGTACATTGTGGATCACTTTGTAGCTCCAAAAAGATTGCCCAGGATCCATCACAGGCAGAATCTGATATTGACCTGCACCAGAGTCCCAAGAGGCCCCAGAACCAACACACCTGGTGACCAGCTTCAGGAAACATCAGAGCAGGATCCAATTAGCTTCACGAGTGGCATATCTAAAGGGAGATCTCAGCAGGCACGAGAATCAGCTGAGGCAAATTCTGCTTCATGGGGTCGGTCCTGCACAGCAGGTCATACATTGTGATCAGGGTCAATCCGCACAGTCACCAGCCTCAGGGTCAGCCCCATGCACAGACAGGCCAACAGCAATTCAGACTCAGCTACAACAGGAGGGCTCACATAACCCACAAAGAGACATCCCTGGAACAACCAGCTCAAGTGATCAGGGAGACTGCATCACTGGGTCCCACATAAGGCCACTCTACCAAGATGGGGAGACATTGCAGAAACAAACACAGAGGCAGTCAAAATGAGGAGACAAACATGCCCCAACTCAATGGGCAAAAACTAAAACCATTTCCCCTAAGAACAGGAATAAGACAGGGATGCCCACTCTCACCTCTCCTGTTCAATATAGTACAGGAGTGGTGAGAGTGGGCATCCCTGTCTTATTTATAGCCATAGCAATCAGACAATAAGATGAATTAAAAGGAATCCAAATTGGAAAAGAAGAAGTAAATCTGTCATTATTTGTAGATGACATGATATTGTACACAAAAAACCCTATGAACTCCATCAAAAATCTACTAGAACTAATAAATGAATTTGGCAATGTAGCAGGATACAAAATTAACACCCAGAAATCTATGGCTTTTTATACACCAATAATGAACTCACAGAAAGAGAAACTAAAAAACAAAAACTAAAAACAAAAAAAAAAAACAATTCAATTTACCATTGCAACAAAAAAAATTAAGATACCAAGGAATAAATTTAACCAAGGAGGTAAAGGACCTATACTCAGAAAATTACAGGATGCTGAAAAAAGAGATAGAGAGAAAGACATAAACAAATGAAAGAATATATTGTGTTCATGGATTGGAAGAATCAACATCATTAAAATGTCCATACTACCCAAAGCAATCTATAGATTCGATGCAATCCATATTAAAATACCAATGACATATTTCACAAACCTAGAAAAAACTTTCCAAAAATTCATCTGGAATAAAAAGAGACCCCGAATAGCTCCAGCAATCTTGAGAAAGAAAAACAAAGTTGGAGGGATCACAATACCAGATATCAAGCTATACTACAAAGCCACTGTTCTCAAAACTGCTTGGTACTGGCACAAGAACAGACATACCATAGAATGATGGAGCAGAACAGAGAACCCAGAGTTCAACTCAAGCCATATGCTCAATTAATATTTGACAAAGGAGGCAAGAGTATACAATGGAGTCAAGACAGTCTCTTTAATAAATGGTATTGGGAAAATTGGACAGATTACATGCAAAAAAAAATGAAACTAGACCACCAACTTACACCATACACAAAAATAAACTCAAAATGGATAAAGAACTTAAACGTAAGACAGGAAACCATAAAAATCCTAGAAGAAGCCATAGGTAGCAAAATAGCAGACATTTGTCATAGCAATATCTTTACCGACACAACTCCTAGGGCAATGGAAACTAAGGAGAAAATAAACAAATGGGACTACATCAAAATAAAAAAGCTTCTGCACAGCAAAAGAAACCATCAACAAAACAACAAGAAAGCCCACTGCATGGGAGAACATATTTGCCAATGTTATCTTCGATAAGGGTTTAATCTCCAAAATTTATAGGGAACTCATACAACTTAACAAAAGGAAGATAAACAATCTAATCAAAAAATGAGCAAAGGACCTAAATAGACACTTTTCGAAGGAAGACATAAGGAAGGCCAAGAGACATATGAAAACATGCTCAAAGTCACTAATCATCCAAGAGATGAAAATCAAAACAACAACGAGGTATGATCTCACACCTGTCAGAATAGCTATCATCAACAAATCAACAAATGATAAGTGCTGGCAAGGATGTGGAGAAAAAGGAACCCTCATGCACTGCTGGTGGGAATGCAGACTGGTGCAGCCGCTGTGGAAAACAGTATGGCATTTCCTAAAAAAATTAAAAATGGAACTTCCGTTTGTCCCAATAATCTCACTTCTAGGAATATATCCCAAGAAACACCAATCAGAAAGGATATATGCACCCCTATGTTCATAGCAGCACAATTTAAAATAGCTAAGATTTGGAAACAGCCTGAGTGCCCATCAGCAGATGAGTGGATTAAAAAACTGTGATACATCTACACAATGGAATACTACGCTCCTGTAAAAAAAGAAGGAATTCTTACCATTTGCAACAGCATAGATAGAACTGGAGAGCATTATGCTAAGTGAAATAAGCCAATCAGTGAAAGATAAATATCACATGATCTCACTCATTTGTGGAATATAATGAACAACATAAACTGATGAACAAAAACAGAACCAGAGTCATAGAACCATTGAATAGACTGTCCAACCTATCAGGGAAGGCAGGGGGTGAGTAGGTAAGAGATCAACCAAAGGACTTGTATGCATGCATA